GTGCATTTTCTGGTGTCAAGACATATTGCCTTAAGTTTTCTGTCTTGACGCTTTGATGTCTTCCTTGGTCTACCAGTATGCTTGCCTTTAACAACCTTCCCATGCTGTTTGTACTTGGTCCAGATTTTAGACACCGCTGACTGGGAACAACCTACATCTTTTGCAACATCACGTGATGATTTGTCCTCTTTAAGGAGTTTGATTATCCTCTCCTTTGTTTCAATTGACATCTCTCGTGTTGGAGCCATGATACATGTCAGTCCACTTGGTGCAACAGCTCTCAAGGGGTGATCACTCCTTTTTAACTACAGATTAACAAGAAGATCTGGTGCAGGTGGGGAAGGAAATTGACAGGGTTATTCCATATTATTTTCCTTGGAATTGAATGATTCCATAATTATTTCCCTCTGCTTGGTCTAAAAAAGGAGACGTTTACTGAATAACTAGTTGTTTTCTTGATTTCCTTTAATGTTTTCTAAAGCTAGAAAGTTGCCATTTGAAATTCACTTAGTTTTGTGTCTTGTCTGTGATCTGCTTTTTTTCTAGAAAATCAAACAACTGAATGAACATCCTCCAAGACTGGTGATTCCATAATTTATGCCAGGGGTTGTATCAGTTCCACATATTCTGTGTCTCTCTCATGCAGAGTAGTGATGTGTTAGTCGTGAGTGAATCAGCTCTATGAGCCCTTTTACATGAACAATGGGGACCAGATCCTATCTGAGAGCTGTTTCTTTTTCTTTTTTTGTAAAATTAATACAAGACTTTAGTTACTTATATTCAGAAAGAATCTTCATCACAACAGGGCAGATAATAACAGAAAAGAAACAGATCAGACCCTCTAATCTGAGGCATTTTCTTTTTCTTAATGCCGTCTGCCATAAAGACAAACTTACAACGTTTCACTGTTTAAATTACTTGTGTCTTGGATAGCTTATGTAAGGGGTATGAAATAGTGGAAAAGGAAATGGAGAAACAAAGTATTATCTTTTTTTTTTTTCTTTGAATACCTTCTACCCATTTTAATTTTTTTCTTGTATAGTTTTTATTTCTTTACATGCCGCCAGGACAGCAGAGGGCACTAGTTGGGTGGATCAGTGAGGGGACGCTAGCCGTGCTCCCACAGAAATAAACTGGAGCTGGCTTGGACAAGACGTGTAATCTTGTCTCTCCTCATCGTTTCCCAGGTATACAAGATAATGTATGAAAACTAGGTGGAAGCATCATTATATGTCAATACCTGCAGGCACCCAAGGGGATGCGGGAGTAGAGTGGTTAGGGAGTTTGGGTAGGATAAAAGCGTTGTAGTCTGGGACCTGCGTAATGGTGGCCGCTCGCTGTAGTTTTTTTTTTGAAGGAATATTTGGTTTACGTATGAGGCTGTATTAAGATTTTTGTGGATATTATTTAAGTTTTTTTCGTTAATACCTTACACGGTCTTATTTTCTACTGTAATGGTGCTGTGAAAGTTCAGGATGCTGAAAAAAACCAGCACAGCTGGTGAGCAGCATATGTTGTGTTTTGGTGCTGGTATGCTGGTGAGCAGCATATGTTGTGTTTTGGTGCTGGTATGCTGGTGACCAGCATGGGATGCTGGTCAGCAGTACTAGACGTTGAGGATGGTAGCCTGTTCACCAGGTTGGGTTGCTTGTATGCTGGACAACCACAGTCAATGTTGGTATTTTGATAATAGCCAGAGCACATGAAATTATTTCAGTGTTTCTTGTCATGTATGCGAGTAACTACCAAAATGGTTTCATAACAGCATGTACATTTAATAAAGAAGCATAACACATACCAGTTACAATATGAATATTAAAAAACAACAGGCAAATTACCCTTGTGGGATCAATAAAGTACATTTAACAAATCATAATAAAAGACTGACACACCTAACATCAATGTTTAACTGATTCATTATTAAGTCAAGTAAGTAGCAGCTAAAATGGCATGTGCTCTCTGTCACGTTATGGCGTGCAGGCGAGCAGGAAAGCAGGTAAGCCAAGCCC